GCAGATCCCTGACTACCTTGGCTGGATGCTGGCAGTCTGCTCATGTTACACTGCTCTTATTCTTTGGGAATCCCATTATGTAACTACTCAGGGAACAACATTCTGGGGGTTATGCATAAAGATGCCTCTAGCAGGCCTTTAAGTACCTCCTGTTCTTTTTTATTTATTACTTACCATTTTCAAGATGGTATTTCAGCTTGCTACACAAATCAATTATTTTGATGCTAGGAAGTAATCACTTCATGTGCAGTCAGAATGAAATCCAAAGTTTTAAAATGCAGCTCTATTTCTAAAGTTCTTACAGTTACTAGAAAGTTATTAAAGCACTAACAATTTTTTAGCATCTTCACAACACAGTAAAGCCATGAAGCAAAGACAGTGGTAGAAGTTAAGCAGAACAGCTACGAAGATATAAAATAGCGTACATAAATTAAGAAGCCTATTGTTCTTCAGTGGACCCTTACAGCGCTGCAGATCAAAGCGTAGGATTAAAGCCTAAAGAGAGCATAGTCCAGGACGCAAACCCCATCTAAACAGAAATACAGCATTACTGGTTTCAGTTTAAGCATGCTAAAATCTCTCAGAAACATCACAGACTGGTGTAGAAAGCAAGTTCTTTTGCAGCACATTAATAAAACCCACCTGACAAATCACGCACAGATAATTATTTCAATAACCAAGTACCATGCAAGGAGCGCCTCCCCGTAACTAAATCACAAAAAGGGATGGAACATACCACTCCTGCTGTGCCATCATAATATCAGCTGGCTTCATTATTTATTTCCCCATTTCCCTGGGACTTTCAGTCTGTCCCTTCCCTCCCCCCCCGCCAATTCATAAAACATCCATCACAGGATCAAAGCCTTTTATGCAAGAGAGCATTTCCACCAAATGCTCTGTGTAGCGAGTTTAAAGTGTCATAATTGAAAGCTAGTAATCATAGTCATAGTGCTTCAAGTCACGGCCTAATCATAAGGTTTTTAAAATAAAGTGGTTGAAATCTATGACACTTTATAACTTCTGTTTACAAACAAATAAATATTCCATTAGCTCTGGGACACTAAGATTTTCCTCAATTCAGGCTGTATTTCTTTCCATCCCATAAAAGATGGCTAATTTAAAGGTTTACCGATTTAAAAATCTTTTCTCCTTTCCCCACCACCTAATGATTAATATTCATCCACTTGTCTTCAAATTAAGCAGAAATTGGCCTACAGGACAATTAGAGTTCCAAGTAGCACTCACTACACTGACAGTGAGCTGACCTTATAAACACAAATGACTACAGACATATCCCTAACAGTGTGGAGATACAGGTCTAGGTCTTGCCCTGTTATGTTTCAATGGCAATGATAGCTGCTATTGACAAACAAAGGAATTTTTTTATGTCAGATGTAAGATTCCTTCAAATGAATTCTCTTGATGTGGTTTTAAAATTGCATTAAAAAAAAAATCCAGACCCTATTCTGTTCTTCAAGTTGGTGTAAGGTACATGTGTCAAGCACATCCTTCTTGTGTGTCTAGATATAGCTGGTATGCTCCTTTCTGATACATTCCGCTTCTGAAACGTGGATGTGTTTCAGTACCTGTTTCCTATCTCCATTCATTAGCAGTACAAAAAGCCAGAGAGGAACCAGTAGAAGAAACATGAGCCAAGACAGGGAATAGAAAGTGTCAATAGCAGCAAGAAAAATCAGTAGCATGCTATTGTAATTTGGTCTATTTGCTTATTGTAGAGTTAAATGCTAACGTTAAATGTTTTCTTTTCACAGAATGTCATTTCCATTCTCCTTATGTTTAAATTTTTGTGTTTGATTCAAACAAATCTCCTTTGCATTCTCCTCTTAAATAGATGTAGAGAGGCATGCCCAAGAGTTAAAATCACAGATAGCATGGTTTGCTCTTGTTTCAACACACATAGTCTTACTGGCAAGTTTCAGTGGAATTTATATTTAATGTAAATCTTGAAGGTAGAAAACATTGTTCTCCAAGTTCAGCAACTCAAAAGACTGTGGAAGTGCCATTCTGGAGTTGTTCCAAAAGATGGAGGCACTGTAGTAAGCTTCAGTCCTTAGTTCCTCTACAGATATTTCCTCTAATGCTTAAAAGCATGGGAAAAGAAAATTTGGATATTGATTAGTGTCTTAAATATCAAAGTCCTATGTCAATACTGTAAATGAACCCGATACATGTAGGGGAAAAAAGAAAGAAAAAAGGCATTTCAGATTCAGTGCCAAACTACTAGAACAGCTGCTCACTAATGCATTTTCTGCCAATTTAATCTTTCAATCCCAAGTTTCATTCCGCATTTCTTATCATATTGCTTATCCAGTTGGAGTAACCACTTCTACGGAAGAGAAGACTTCGCTGCTGAAAAAGGATGGTGCAGTGGATTTCAGGCTGTAATCCACTTATTTCCTCAAACCCGCTTCTTTATATAAAAACTTACACGATTTAGTAGAAGCATTTAGAAGTACTGCAGTTTTACTGATTATGTGCATAATGGCCTTCCTCATTCCTCACAAGCAGATTTAAAAACATATTTTTTTTGTACAGGCCCTCATTTAGTATTTTCTTATATGATCCTAGAAAAGGATCTAAGCATGGTGGCTTGAAGATCATCAAAAGCAACTGAAATCTTTTTCTTGACTTTGATCAGGCATCCTCACTGTAAAACTTAACCCATGGGAAACTGTTCTACACCAAACCTCCAGCTAGGGATCCCAAAATGTAGTTTTATCCATTCATTTTCTCTAAAAATTTTGCTAGGATGAATACTTTAATTCAATGAGAAAGACATCACTGCTGCAAAATCATTTTCTGCAATGCTTGACCTAGCAACCCACACTTCATTATCTCAAAATTTCTCTTTCATTTAGTATAAAAGTTGGTCCCTCTTGAAAATTAGTTAACAAGACAAGAATCCTTAGTCTTCAACCCTTTGACACTGGTTAATATTCAGGGATTACAGGATTATTGGGATTTCTTTGTTCTCGGGGATTCTCTTTCTAAACCGTTAAAATCAAGACTATTGGCATCTAACATTAGAATTTCTCTATGCTACAGACTGGACTACTGCTATAGTGTAAAATGCTTGCAACCCTTGCTATAATAAGGGGTTAGTATGATGCAAAAATGGACAGCACAAGGCAGCGTCTCAAGAAAAGTGTTTGAATTACCCGAAGCAAATTATATATCTCTAAAGCTGCCCTAAATTTAGAATGGAGAAAGCCCTAGCACACATTTTATTCAACTGTCTTACGTTAGGATCTTTCTCTTTACCATAGTTTTTCTTCCCTTTTGTGATGTAAGGCCTCACACAAGAACAGATATGCAGATAATATTGATTTAACATGTAAACTAATTAATCTCTCCACATAGTGATGATGCTCATTGTTATAACCTCTGACTATAAACAATAAAATGACTGATTGTAAATTTATGCTGCCTCTTAACTGAAAGCTGCGCACAATCTAAACTGTGTATAACTGAAGCCATGTCACTATATAAGCAAATTTAGATTCAACAAACATATTTGGACTTAACAGCACATGACCACTACACATAGAAACGCTTATCATGTTACCTACCTTTCTGCAGTAGTCTTCTGAGTGACAATCCACGAGATAAAGAATGTATCCAGAATTTTTTTTCCCCAGCTATACTTACAAGATTTTGGAATGTAACAGGACAAAACAGTCCGAAATCAATTCAGGAGACATTTCTATATAATTGCTAAAACAATGGCAGAAATAGTTATTTCTATAAAGAGATGCAATTTCCACTAACCTAGCTACTGCATACCTCTTCTCCACTCCTATATATTCTGCTGCATTCCTCCCCCTTTTCTTCAGTGCTTCAAACCTTCTGTTCAATATTTTGGCTGTTCTGGAAATTAAGAATATGCTAAGCCCTTCAAATGCAAATTGCTGAAGTATTAAAACTTAAAAAATTGCCAAATGGTATTGAGACAAATTTATTTCCAAGCCCAGAATAGTGTAATGTATTATTACTGATTATGATCCTCATTTTTCCTTATTATTCAATAGGTTTTCCTTACAAAAGTCAATTCTTTTCTCCTATGTAAAATAGCTTTTTACATATTTGAACACTTACCCTTTCTTACTTAGCCATCTTCTTATAAGATCAGTTTTTCCAACATTTCTGCATAGATTTTTTTTTCTAAAGTTCTGCTTACCCTTATAACACTCCCGTATGGTATTTGCCTATTAGGCAGATTCACATTCAGCTTGCAATCAGCAATAACTCTTAGATTTTTTTTGAGGATT